CTGTTTTCTGTCCACATCTAATTATAATGCATTTTATTGTCCCAATAATCAGGAAGAGCATGGTAGCATCACTGTGACATTTTTAAGCGAGTAAAAACAGCTACAGTGCCTTTTAATCTAAATTGGAGCACCATTTTGGCCACTTATTTGTATCTTGTTTATTTCAGTGTCATGTTGTCTGTAATATTTGTCCATTGTTTGTTTATGTGGTCGTTTTTTAATGTCTCTTTGTGCACTGTTTACACATGTTTTTCCACAAATAGCAAATAAACTATCCTGATTTAAAAAGTAAAAATATGTTGAGTGGAAAAATGCAAGTGTGCAGCTTGTGCAGAAAAGCAGACAGATGACTTATTCTTAGTCACAAAAACATTGGACATGATGGACAAGTTGTTTTGGTTTTCAAGATGATTATCAAATCAGAGAGCCTCACATGTGTATCTCATTTGGGTTGAAATCGAGTTGGTTTAAACCTCAAATGCCTCTGTCTGATCTGAATGGTCACGACCTAAACCCCAGCAAAGAGAAGAACTTGGATTTGCCCTCTATCTGCAGGTTAAAACACTGCGATTGTTGTATATTTTGACTAATTACGCCTTGTTTGACACCAGTTTCTTCCCATTTTTACTACTTATTTTTAATTTATTACCATTTATATTTTTGTTCTTTGTTATTATATCATATTGTCACGTGTAAGCTACTGTGTCCAAGTAATTTCCCTTGTGGATGAGTCAAGATTGTTGAAGTCGAAGTCTAAGAACGCAGCAAAATACACAGCTACCGTTGGTGACTGAATGAACTGTACAACTATTGCTTAAGGCAGGAGAGGGCAATTATTTTTTCCATAGGGCCATATGAGAAACAGAAAATATTGTGGAGGGCGAGGCAAAATACTTAACTCAGTACTGCTTAATATTAATTGTATTTCTTTATAAAAAGCAGTAAATAGCTTTAATTTTACAAGCTGATCAGACTGGTAAGAGTTTATGTTATGACTAAGCAATGAAAAAGTGAGGTTTCCTTACAAAAAAATTCATTAAAAACGCCTCTAAAATAAAAAGCAATGCAGCTTTAGTCCATGCATGAGGTAAAATTATAAAATATGTTATATTTTGTAATTCCAAAATAAAGTCTGGCTTGGTTACACACAGCCATTCCTTCATGCCGCTATTTAGACACTGACGTCTAATTGTCGGAGTAGCAGCATAAACATTATTTTTCAAGTGTCCCACTACTTCAACTTTTTTTTTTTTCCCCCATTGTTGGAGTAGTTGCACTTTACTATTTTTCAAACATTCCTCTTTTCCGACATGAATAATATTAATGTGATAGCCTATTATACTTTGCGCTCTCATATATCTGAAGATAAGTTGACCATATTTTCGTTTGTCAAAACCAGGACACCGTATGGGGGTTGAGAGGTGGGGCCCCGTCACAGACACTGAGCTACTCTCACCTGGCAAAGCATTTTAATGTTTGATGTTTGTGAGCTTTGAGGTCCCTGACACCCTCACTGGACACCGAAACATATGTGCCTGCTTTGCACAGTCTGCAAATGGCCTCACACTTGTCCCGACCTGGACGGAAAGCGGGGAATTTCTTGTTCAAGTCATCGTTAAATCTGCATTTGCTCTTCGGCATGTTGCAGGCTGGCCAACTGTTTGTGTCTGCCCGCTCCTTCTGAGTTACAGAGAGCTATGAAAGCCGGTCAAGTGAATGGGCCCAATGAAAGAAAAAGAAAACCCAGACATTTCCATCACCTTACATATAAATAAAAAAAAAAAAAACCCGGACGGCCAGGACAGGACATGACAAACTGACATGTCTTGGAAAAAAGACATTTGGTCACTCTATCTTAAGATGCTTAGGCCGGATCAGAGAATCTTTTGGCAACATAGGACATCAGACAGTGGGAAAATGTCCTAACTGATCGCCGTGGGAAACAGTCATGCATTTTAAAAACATGGGCCCTTTGTGCTTCATTCGTTTCGTCATGTAGGTGATCTGCGGAGAACACCATGTATAAAAAGTGTCGGAAAACTGGCACGTCTAAAGAGAGACATGTCGTAATGAAGGGATGATGAAATAGGCGGCGAACCCTGTCTGGCTTAAGGGTATTTGAATGCAACTAAAACTGGCACCTGTAATAAAGATGTAGGCTAATAACATGTACACGTTTTACTACTGTATTTTGAATAGGCCCATTATCTTTATTCTCTCGCACAGTGACTTTCCGGTGTCACGTTTCTCACAATATAGCGCCAATTAGCCTGGTTTGACAACAACCGTGATTCCCCATTCTCTCTCATTACACGGTCATTGTTTGGCGTCCACGTGCCCCGTCACATCGCCACCGTAACTACAGCCACAGGTGAAGGTGTTCGCGTACTGTATCTCCGTTAGCATCAGCACCAGCCTCACGTTTCAACCCATTTAAGCTAGCACAATGCGCGTCGACACAAAGAGCCCCGTCGAGGCTAGGCCCCGCGGTGGCGCTACGGCTAAATAAAGCGTTAGCCCTGTTAGCTCGGGGCCTACAGTACAATGCGGCCCTGTCACTGCGCCGGCTGTAAGTCTGTCATTGGGGACAGGATAATAGAAAGTAAATGGAGCAGGGAGGAGGGCGGTACGCGAAAGTCTCTCAGGCAAATCTGATGCTAGACAAGAAGACTCCTGCAACGGTGAGTCCAGGAGGAAAGAAAGGAAAGACGTACAAGTGGGTCAAGTGTAAACAGGTTCATACTGGGATTACAGTAGGAGCAAACAAAGATAAACTATTTCACGTCTTTAGAATAGGCTCAATTCGCGCTTACGTCACAAACCAAACCAAGAAGACGTTTGGAAAGATGCGATTACAACTTCCCAGGCCCAGTTTTCTTCATCTCCATGTCATTGTAACGTTCCATCTAGGGCTGTCAAAATAACCGCAAAAATGAATTACTGCAGTACTAAGAGGCCCACCGCCCGTGACCAGCGTGACCAGACCCAGAGTCTTGCACGGGTCCGATTTTTAGAGACCCACACCCGCCTGGACCTGTTAACATTCCACCCATTACCGCCCGTGCCTGTGATAACCCAGGACTAAGGTACGAGCGCGTAGACTGTCGGGTGACTGCAGAAGAAAGGACTGGCATAGAACTCGGCGCCACACGGAGGTAAGTGCGGCTGTTGCGCCGTTCCTAGTTCCGTCATGTTCGGCTAATCAACAATTACAACCATACCTCAGTTTTCATCATTTCCCCACTTACGCACAACTCCGAGCGCACTGGGTACATGCGATTAGAAAAGATAAGGGTGCCAAATTCAAGATTATTCCAAAGAGTACCTATGAATGCAGTCTTTTATTTTACCGCTGATGACATTTACTTCAATGGGCTTTATCACTGTCAGTTTTGATTGATCTTTGAGCCCAGTGTCGGGAACTACATCAGAAGTTGTCATTGCATGTTTCCAAATGTCTTCCTGGTTTGTGATGTAAGCATGAATTGAACATATTAACGTGTTTTAAGTGTCTGCAGAGCCTCCACAGTATTTAACCTGTTTTGGGTGTTAGAATACGGCGCTTTGTTGTGATGACACTTATCGCAATGTCAACTCCCATTGGACACCACAGTTTTCTAAGGCAGTGGATTTGTTTATTATATTAAGTCGTTTTAGATGAATATCATGATTTAAAAGGTGCAAATTATAACATAATGATCCACTAGATTATAACTACTGTATTTTTCAGACTATAAGTCACACTTTTTCATGGTTTAGGTGTTTCCAGCGACTTATACTCCAGTGTGACTTATATAAAAATGTTCACACTGACAGCCATGAGAGGCTCTAGTCTTGTGTGTCAGTATTTGCTGCTCCTGTTCCTCCTGTACCACTGTCACTTGGCTCTACTGCGCACGTCTCCTGCAGAAAGAGCCTCTGTCCTGTCTGTATCATGTCAGTTGATCGCAAAATTACTTCTGTACTACTGAAAATAAAAAATTTAAACAAACTTATAAAGACGAGAAGAAGACTGAGAAGACTGAACACAAATGCCCCCACGAAAAAAATCATATTTTGCAGATTAAAAGTTGTAAGTAGAGAAATATTCTGCCAAAAACAGTAATCCAGCAGCAGAAAGAAAATTTGGAGTGAAACCGGAAGGGTGCACCATGCAACTTTCCTGAAGTCACTGGATGGATCGACAAAGCCTGGACTTCAGTGACACCAAAACCATCCTGTCGGGATTCAGAAAGGCCGGAATAATTCTAACTGGAACTGATGCTGAGTCTGACGACAGCAACACAGAAGAGGAAGCGGCGCTCTGTTTACCTCTGGATGTCGTGGAGTTGCTCAGAAGTGACACCGAGGATGAAGAATTGAATGGATTTAGTGATTTGGAGTGAGATGGAGAGTTTAGTAAACTTCTTCTGTTCTGTTGTTTATGTTATAGTTTATCTGAAGAACTGTTCATATGTGATGTTAACAGTCTGTTGTTCTCTCTTCTATTGTTATTACTACAACTTGACTTTCAAGATGAAATGTTGGTTCTTAGTCTCTGATTTTAGAAAATAAACTTCCATTCAAAAGTGTGACTCATATGTGTTTTTTTCTTCTTCATTACACATTTTTTGGCTGGTGCAACTTATAGTCTGAAAAATACAGCATATAGCAGACTCAAGCTCAATATGTCTTTTTGAAGTTTGTCTACTGCATATCAAGGGACAAAGTTATGTTATGTATATGGAATTTTAAATCTAAACCTTCACTTTGATTAGCTCTATAAATGTATGTTGCACCCCAAGGCCCCCTCCTCTTTCCCAGAGCCCGTCTGGGAGCAGACTCTGGGACAATAGGAGATATGAGCTGCCGATGGAGGTATGCAAAGTACAGGAGGGCAGAGGAGGATCAGATGACAGCAGTGCATGATGGGATGGTAGATACAGAGCAGGCCTGTTGTTTAGAAAGAGGAAAGGAGGACACTACATAAACAGGAGGAGGAGGAGGAGGAGGAGGCTCACCGAGGGTAGTTGGTGCAGTACTGGGTGTAGATGTGGAAGTCTTCGCTCTGGAAAAGATAAAGAGGAGAAGTTAGATACATGTAAAAATAGTATGTTTTGGGTTTTATGCTTTATAATAAAGGTTGGGGGATTATACATTTTAAAAAGTAATGGGTAAAACTGGTGATTTTTGTTTTAATCTGTATAATAATTTCTCTTGTGGATCAATAAAGTTTGTCTAAGTCTATTGCAATATCAATCCAATGAGTTCTGTATTAAAATGCATTGAAACTCCTCTATAAAAACATTTACCTTGGCTATGTTTATTTAAAGGTGCATTGTGTAATTTTTCCGGTGAAGTTCCCCGCCATGCTTGTCTCCATAGAGATGTTGTTGCTTTGTCTGGAATGTCTCAGTGTGGCATTAAATACACCCATCTTGTATTTACTTAATATAAAAATTGTTTTTTTATTTATTTCATGAGGTGAGTGGGCTTGACTCTCCACAGATCAGACATGTAACTTGGTCCTGTGGCATCACCTGCTGTCACCTTAGAGATAAATAAGTGTAATGTCATGCTGTGGAACACTCCAAGCTGGTGACGGACCCTCCACCAAAAGTTAGACAGTGCACCTTTTTAAATAAATCAAATTTTAAAAAGTATTATGTGCAAATAAACCAAAAAAATATAAACACATATTTCAAAAATGGAATAAAAAATATATATGGAAAACATCAAATATGGTGCAACAAGTGTGATTTATGAAGCAAGTAATTTAAAAAATATATATTTTAGCTCCAAATCCTCACAGTCTCCACCCTTTACTTTATGGACAGTGCCGCAAACCTTTGACCTTCTCTCAGGCTTCGTTTATATGACGACAGTCTGAACAGAAGACGCAAAAGTAGCGTTGTGTCTTCACTATTCTGCATTTAGACAAGCGTTTTTAGGAGGAAATATGTGTACATACAGTGACACAAAAGTGTGACATGTTTGCTTCTGTGTAGTGTATGTATATGACGTAAACGCGTACGTGACGTGAGCAGATCTGACCAGAGTTTTGCGTCTTGGGCAGTGTAGACGGAAACGCTATGGTGGAGCATATTCAACTTTTCCACTCTGGAGGGTGGTTTCAGATTTTTGCATTTTTAAACCCCAAAAACGCCATCACCGTCTAAACGAAAGGCACTTCCGATAAAATATTTTGTCATTTTTTTTGTCACCTGCAAGCGTTCTCGTGTAAACAGGCCCTGAAAGAGCCTCTTGATGACGTCTCCTGAAATGGTTTTCACTTCACAGCTGTGCCAGGTCAGGGTCAATAAATGTTAAAGAGTACAAAGAAATGTTCAAAGCAAAGGGTGGCATAATATTTGTAGTTTTGATGCCTTCTGTGAGACTCTACAATGTAAATAATCATGTAAATAAAGAAGAAACATGAAAAAGTGTGTCCCAACTTTCAACTGGTAGTTTCAAAGGCATTCATGTGTTTTATTAGTTTCACAAAATCAATTTTCAGTATAAAATATTCTGCAAAAAGTTCATTTGAGTCCATAGAACCTGCTCAACTCCAAAGTGGACAGAAACAAATAACTACAGTGGCTGCAAAGGGTGGAAACTCAAATCGGGGACACCAGACACATAAATTCAAAATAAATACACTGTTACAAAACTATCTGACTATTAGAGATAAATGAGCAGTTTACAATGGCAGACATAACAAAAACTTGCACTGTTTAGAATTCCACTTTCAATAGGCTCAAGTTTCATGAAAATACCAGCGAAACTACCACCATTATGACGCAATACGTGTAATTATCAACACTTTCTCTATAATATTATATTCACTCTGTCAAAACTGTTTCCTTCTGGTATTTTCTACAGAGACTTATTGAACATTAGCTCGTCGTATTTAGATTAATGCTACCAATGTACGTATTCTAGTAAAATCCTGAAAAACAAGAGCGCAAAACATCACAATTTATTACCAACTCAGTCCACAAATATGTTTTTATTACCAGCATAAAGTGAATTTATTATGATGAGTGAAACCTTAAAGTGGCAGTCTCAAGTGTAGTAAAAATAAACAGTGCATAAAAAGTCCATAGTAGGGCAGTTTGCATTTTTTCACACGTGTCAGTGGTTGCGTAATCTGCCCATAATGGTATACAGTTAGTAGTAATGGATTGGTTCAGTTATACACAGTACATACCTCAGTACATTTTTACCTCACTCACTTACTTATTACGCAAAATTTTGTAATGTGAGTTTTAAGCCATTTTGTTACCTTCTTAAAAACAGACCAGGAGTTGTGTTTTTGAGTACTCCTTTAGCCTGTCTACATCTCTAAAGCTCAAAATGCTCCGTTCCACCTTGTGATAATAATAAATCTTTATTTATAAAGCACTTTTAAAAGAAAGATTTACAAAGGGCTGTACAAGCCACAAAGAACAATACAAAAAGCATAAAAAAAGCTTTTAGAAGGCATACAAAAACAGACAATGATGCAAACAGTTCTAATGGAATTGTATAATAAATAAATAAAAGAAATAGAATAAAGGAAATAAGGAATAAAATCAAGTTAAAACCAGTTAAAGGAAGGACAACTGATAAAAATGTGTTTTAAGAAGTGATTTAAAAGGTGATACTGATGGTGCGAGCCTTATCTCCTCAAGCAGGTCGTTCCAAAGCCGAGGCGCATCGGACTGAAAAGACTCCATCACCTTCGATCAGCGCCTGGACTTTGGAACAGCCACAGGGACCTAGCCAGGCTGGCGCCACCTAGTGCCTCCGCTCAATTTCATTTCTCTTCAGCGACTAGGTCAGGAATCAGAATACACTAGACGGTTTGCAAGAACCCCATAAGTTGTAGACCACACATTGGCCAATCACTGAAGAGCTGTGAAGCCATGACATCAAACTCAAGCGCCTGTGTGGGTCCCTTTTTTGGTGCAGCACAACAGTAAATAAAGCTGTCGAGATGGATGTAGACGAAGACAGACATTCTGTTTTGGCAACAATTCCCGAGACTGAGGATTTAAAGCCGGAACAAAGAGAATGTTTGGTGAATTTTATTTTAAGGGGAAAGACGTTATTGTCCTTCTTCCTACAGGATTTGGCTCATTACATATGTCACGACCAAATAGAAGTGATTGGTTAAATAAAAAAAGTACACACCTACTGCTGAGCGAAAGAATCCTACTGCTGTGAGGTCAGACAGTTTCCACGAAGTGAAACCGGCTGATGAATCAGGCTAACAGGGACCTGCCTAAGGATCTAAGGCTGCAGGAGGCTAACAGGGTTAAAAGTTCTGAAAATGTAATTGGATGCAAGACCTAAACGAGCTTTAAAAGTGATGAGTGAAAATCTTAAAATCGATTCTAAAACACACAGGAGCCAGTGAAGGGAAGTAAAACAGGGATAATGTTGATGTTTGTTAAACTCATTGAGGAGTCGAGCTGCTGCTTCTGAACCAGCTGGAGGTGGGGGATGGATTTGGAGTAGAGACCAGAGAGGAGGGAGTTGCAATAGTCTAGAGTCTAGACGGAAGAAGAGGAGGGTGTGGATGACTTTCTCAAGATCAGTGTGGGAGAGGAGAGGATAGTTTTGATTTTGCTAATTGTACGGAGGTGGAAAAAACAGGATTGGGCGCCTTTTTTGATATGAAGGTGGAAGTTGAGGTGAGAGTCAAAAATGTCCTGTGATGTCATGTAATGGTAGTTTTCAGCAGCTACCTTTTACCTTTTGTTTAGTAGAGATTGTCAATTACAGGGCTGAAATTATCCAAATGATTTTAGTGAAGGTGTGTGCAGTTTTAAAACACAGTGCATTTCCTATATTACCACATGACATCACAGGGTGGAACGAGGTGTTTTGAGAGAAGAACTCAGCCTAAATATGCAGAGTGTGTGTGTTAAACATATGTGAATGAAACAAAACACAACTCCAGGTCTGTTTGTGATGAGGAAACAACATTATAACATAGATTAGGAAATAACGTAATAAAAGATGTCTCTTCTTATTCTTATTCTTGTTTTGTCGTCATGGTTACACCAACCAACCACAACCAGAGGTGTTACCAAGTCATTGTTTTGCAAGTCTCAAGTAAGTCTCAAGTCTTTGACATCAAGTCCGAGTCAAATCCCAAGTCAAATACAGGCAAGTCCAAGTTGAGTCTCGAGTCACTGGCCCATAAGTCCAAATATCAAGCCAAAGTCATCTGCTTTGAGCTTCAAGTCATTTCAAGTCTTTAAACCAAAAAAGTACTAAATATAGCTTAGATTTTAGAATTTATATGAATTTTCAATTAAATTGTACTTAAAAAGTCATGGTATATTTTTTATATGAATACTTCCAGTTGTAGAAATGCAAATTTTTGACAAGAGTGAGAATTATTACAGTCAGAATAGAAAGAATTAAGATTTAAAAGCACTTAATAAAACTTATTTTGTCAAGTAGTCTGCACTGAAATTGAAAGATCAGGTTCTGTGTAGTTCCCTCTGTTTTACTGTCAAGTCAAGTCCCAAGTCTTAGTCTATTTTATCAAGTCGAGTCTCAAGTCCTAAAAATAGTGACTTAAGTCTGACTTGAATCCAAGTAACGACATACAATCCCCCACTTTTGCTTAGTACTCTTCTCAAATACTCTTCTCAAATACAGTTTCACTTTTATTTGAGTAAATTTATGGACGTTTACCTTTGGCCTTTACTTAAGAAAGAATATTTTGAAGTAACAGTGCTACTTGAGTGCAATTTGTAACTCCTCTCCCCTCTGATACTGTATAAGCTGAAGGTGAAATAGTGTGATCCTTCCTTCTAATTGAAACTGTTTGTAGGTGATGATTATTCTGGTCCTCCCGAGTCTATAGTCTAACATGTAAGCCTTCTAATTTGGCCCTCACATGTTTCTGTGACATCAAAACAGCACACAGACACTGCACTATCAAAGGGAGGCTTATGAGGCTTCAGTAAGGGGGCCACGGTCGCAGAAAGTACACAGGAACCTTTGTCTTCAGTATTCACGCATGCTTTTGCTTTTTGTCGCTTGTCATTAGCTTATTCCAACAACACT